GGACTTGGGTTCAAATCCTCTTTTACCAATAACTACCTTTGTGACCTTGGGCAAGTGACTTAACATCTCCAGATTTTAGTTTTCACATCTGTAAAAGGGGGAAAGGTTGAACAATCAGTGGTATCAAAATTAAATTAAAAAGGGGCCACTTAACTGTATATAAGGATCCCTGTTACCACATGTTGACTTAGAAAATTACATTAATATTTTCTGTGTTCTATTGTTATTTTTATTTATTTTGTTAAATATTTCTCAATTACATTTTAATCTGTTTCAGGCCAAATTTAGGATTGTTGCAGGCCACGGTGCCTGTGTTGAACACCTCTGATTTATATGACCTCAAGAGTTCTTCCCAGGTCTAAAACAAATGATCTTATGATTGTCTTTGAATATGATATTATGTGCGTGTACGTGTTGGTGTATGTTCTTAGGGTCTCTTCCCACAGGCCATTCTCATCTACAGATTCCAGAGTAGCTATTGTGCTTATAGTACTAAAAGATTGTAAATGGGTATAGAAGACTTTCAAATAATCCATAGAACCTAATTTGACTGATAGATCACAAAAGTATAGGTTACCACAAGGCCCTATAGCATTCACCTAGTCGAGTTATCTGGAAATGAATTATGGATTAAAAAATATATATTCCTTTAGTCCTTACAACGTACAAAGTATTGTCACATGGGTTATCACATTTGCCTTACTTTTAAAAAATGTTTTATTGTTGCTGCTACATCTCGGTAACACCCCTTACTAAAATTCCTTGTAATAAAGAAAAATGAAATCAAGCAAGCATAAGAGCTACTGCATCTGATTATGTATGCAGCATTCTATGTCTGTAGTCTTCTATCTCTTTACTTAAAGACAGGAAGTGGGCATCTTCATCTGACTCCTTAAACCAGATTGGTTTTTGCCTTTCATATGAATAATATTGCCTTTTAGTGTTCTCACTTATGTATGCATTGTTCTGTTTTTTTTTATTTGTATCAGTTTATACAAGTCTTCCCAGGATCTTCTGAATTTCTTTTTTTTTTTCATTGCTTCTTATAGTATGATAGTACTATGTTACTACCATAGCTGTTGCTAACTTAATTTGATATTCATAACTCTATGAAGACAACTGGATGAGTATTATAATCATTTTATTATATTAAAAGATATGATGGCCTCATTTCTCAAATATATAGGGAACTGAGTCAAATTTATAAAAATAAGAGCAATTACCCAATTGGTGATCGTCAAAGGATATGAACAGGCAGTTTTCAGAAGGAGAAATCAGAGCTATCTGTAGTCATGAAAAAGTACCCTAAATCACCAAATGACTAGAGAAATGCAAATTACAATTCTGAGCTACCACCTCACACCTATCATATTGGATAAAGTGATGGAAAAGGAAAATGACAGTGTGGAGAGGATATGGAAAAGCAATGACACTAATGCACTGTCGGTGGAGTTGTGAACTGGTCCAACTATTCTAAAGAACAATTTGCAACTATGCCCAAAGGGCTATAAAGTTATGCATGCCTTTTGACCCACCAATACCACTGCTAGCTGGATCTGTATCCCAAAGAGATCAAAGAAAAAGGAAAAGGATTTTATGTACATACATACATATATATATATACACACACACACATATATATATACACACATATATATACACATATATACATATATATACACACACATATACACACACACATATATATTTACATATATATACACACACATATATATACATATATATACACATATATATATATATATATATATATATATATATATATATATATATATATATATATATACAGCTGTTTTTGTGGTGACAAAGAATTGGAAATTCCTTATCACTGGGGAATAGTTGTACAAGTTGTGGTATATGATTGTAATGCAAATATTGTGCTATAAGAAATAATAAGCAGGAGGGTTTAAGAAAAAGCTAGGAAAGTCTATATAAACTGATGCAGAGTGAAGTGAGCAGAACCAAGAGATCATTGTACATAGGAACAACAATTTTGTAATGATGATCAACCGTGAAAGATTTTGCTACTCTCATAAATACAGTAATCCAAGACAATTCCAAAGGACTCACGATGAAAAATTCTATCCACATCCTGAGAGAGAGCTGGTGAATCATGAGTGAAAATTAAAGTTTATTTTTTTTAACTTATTTTTCTTGCTTTTTTGCAACATAGCTATTATGAAAATATGTTTTACATTGCATGTCTTCTCAATGAGTGGGGAAGAATTAAAATAAGTAATAAATTTATAAAAAATGAATATGATGAATGACTCAATTGTGTTAGACTTATAAAGAGACATGGACATAAATAGTATAGAACAAGAGAGAAAGGATTGTGACCTGCACTAGTGCAGAAAGTACCCCTCTGATGATTTGACAACCCATTAAAGTATTAAAGTGTTTAGAATGATGAAACTCAAGCATATACAGCACTTTACACTTTAAGCAGGCAAGTCTTCACAAGAATCCTGTGAGTTAAGCCATGTGGGTGTAATCATCCTCACTTGACAAATGGAGATGTTGAGACTCAGAGGTGGAAGTAACTTATCCAAGACCAGATGACCGACCAGTAGTTGACAGAGACTAGCTTAGGTCTTTTGACTCCCAGCCACTAGAGTACAAAAGGTTTCCATTCAAATAGACTGGAAGACACATACAAGAAACAAAATGAAAACAAAACAATTCCCGTGGGATGATTCTGACATTTCCAATGGTAGAATCCATGCTTCTATGCAAGTCTCGTCACTAGGTCTTGATTAGGGCAAATAAATAAATGACCTGAAGTGACTATACGTATTTGAATTTGTATTACTCAAAGGTATAATTGTGTAAAATATGGTCATTGGTTCCAGCCCAATGGAAATACGCAGTGCGAATTCAACTAATGTGAGGACTTTAAGGGAATCACTATCCAAACTAGTTGGAACCCAGCTGTACTACCAAGTTGGTGGCAAAAGAAAACCCGTCTAATTACTGTAGCTGCCATTGGTTGAATGTAAGTTGTGATGTGTTTTTGAATCCTGAAATGTTTCACACAGCTCTTTTGAGAAATAAAAGTGGTCATTCTGTGTCTTGTCCATATTGCAGTTTTGCATAATTTTAGTGTGCCTATCTCAGTTCCCCCGGTGGTTACACAGAGTGTGATTTTAAAATTTCTTGGCTAGATCCACTACCAACCAAATGTCATGAGTTAGGAATATACTGGGGGAATTGTTTAATTGTAATTTCTTAATACACAAAATCACATTTTGATGGGAGAATGATGAGAAAAGACTAAAAAAAAATTGTCTTTTAGATAGTCTGGGGGAAAGGATGATCTAGACTTTGGGGATTTTTATTTGTTAACCTTTAAGAATGTGGGAGTACCTTAGGAGACAGAGCAAAAAATATCTCAAGAAGCTATTAATTATTCTCTCTGCCTCAAATCACTTAATGTTCTAGATCGATCGTGCCAAACTCAAATAGGAAAGAATTCCTACCTCCACATTTTGATGGCAGAAAACCACAAATTAACGTTATCTATGTTGTATTTCTATTTAATAAATTAAATGTTGTATTTTATTTAATTTATTAAACTGCTCCCAATTTTGTTTTAATCTGGTTCCAGGCTCTACTGGACCAGAATTAGACATCTCTATTCTACTCCATCTAGCATGCAGCTGATAAAAATATTTTTCTAACACACTAGTCCTACCATGTCACTTCTCTACTTACAATAGCAACATCAAACCTTCATTAGCCCTCTATTGTCTACAAGATAAATTGCACATTCCCTAACTTAGCATTTAAGGCTCGCTTACTTTTTCTGCCTTATTTCACATAACTACCCTTCACATATTCATGTTTCATTCAAACTGCATTACATAGTTGTTCAAGCTGTTGCCTCCTATCTCACTGCATCTACTGTCTGTTCCTCAGACCCAGAATATATTCCTTCCCCATCCCTTTAATCCCCTTACAATCCCTTTAAAGCCCAGGTCAGATAACCCTTCTTCATGAAGCCTTCCTGATTCCCACATATAAAATTGGCATTTCCCTCATCAAATTTTCATTGCATACTTTGATTGGATCTTTGATTTGCCCTATCCCAATCTATTTCATATTTTATGTTGTTCCCGGAGCACCACTTTATGCACAAAAAGTACCCTAGAAAAGCTTCTCTGGTTTTGGTATATATAGTTTGTCTTCATCTTATTGAATCTGTCGGTCATTAGCCCCCACCAATAATTTATTGTTTGTATTGTTTATTTATTGTTATGCACATTTATTGTTGTATATATTTATTTATTTTCACAAGTCAATGAGAGAATACTATTCATTCAAAGTAAAGGCATTGAATTATCTCAGCCAATTAAAAAAAAAGCAGTAGACTATTGTACCTCCCAAAAAATGTATGTCACACTCCCCACAAGTATACACACCATGAATTGAAAGAGTAGACATCCATAGGGAATGTGCCTGAGGGGTACATATGTAAGAGTACTAAGAGCTATTTCCATTAAAATCCACAACTTTCACGTTAGTCACTAAAGCAACTTAATAAAAAGTACACCAACACAGAAAATACATACCGAGGGACATGTATAAAGGGGTACATATGAAGTTATTTGTAAAGAGACAACTCAAATCTCCAGTGCTATGGGAATACTCCTGCCTCCAAATACATCTAGGTGCTCTGTACTCATTGCTCACTGCTGACCCTTCTCCTTTGGATTATTTTTTTCCACTACCTGTAGAGCTTCAAGTGGAATCTTCAGCTGAGGTTCTCCCTTGTCCTTATAAAAGGAACAGTGGGTTCTGCCATCTCTCATTCATCTTAGAACCCAGAAGCTTCAGCAGTGTTAGGAAGGTGGAGTCTTCATATACTCCTTGATTGGGATAGGAAATTCAATGAATACAGATCAGTTTATCTCTAAAACTAAGGCTTGTTGAATTGAGTTTGTTTAATGTATATTTGTCTTTTTGTGTGTGTGTTCCAGAGGATCAGATTCCCCGGGGCTTCCCTACCATAGACATGGGCCCACAGTTAAAGGTGGTTGAGCGTACTCGCACAGCCACCATGCTCTGTGCAGCCAGCGGTAATCCAGATCCAGAAATCACTTGGTTCAAAGATTTCTTACCTGTGGACACAAGTAACAACAATGGACGCATCAAACAGTTACGATCAGGTAGAGTCTTGTTACAGTTTCAACTAACGCCTAGAGATTTTTTCTCCCCTTTCACTATTGTTTTCTTTTATTTTAATTTTAGGTAATGATTTTTCTTCTTTTCTTCTCTGTTATTTAATGTGTTGTCCATTTCTGTGATGTTGTCATAGCCTGTTTCAGAGTCTGTCTCTCTCTCTCTCTCTCTGTTTTGCAGCTTCTGTTTATTCCACATTGCTCACTGCTGTGACTGTATTTTTTGATAATTTTTTTAACTGCTCTTTGGCAGTATTTGGTGAATCCATTTTCTTCTCTTTCTTTCTTTCTTTCTTTCTTTTTTTTTTTTTTTTGACAAATTTATTTCAACATTGGACTTCATTCTGAACTTGCAAGGAGTACCAATGGTTATTTCCATTACAATCCAAAACTTTCATATTAGACTCTAAAAACAAATTAACAAAAAGTGTGGTTTATGCTGTCTTTTCCATATTTGAACCCTCCAAAGCTTAGCAAGTTTGGACACATCTTCTTTCTTCTCACTAATACATAAAACACAGATTTTTTTTTCCCCCATGTGTAACCAGATGTATTTTTTAAAGTTCCATTACAACCCATGAAAGCAAGGGGCCTTTTCCGCCTCTGAACAAGAATTTTCTGACATATTAGCCACAGTAGTGTGCGCCCACGCAAAAGCTTTTTGAACCCCTCGGTGTCTGGATCTACAGAAGCCTGCTTTGGTGTAGACTCCAGCTTTTGCTGCTCGCTCTTTCTCTCTCTCTTTGCCCATTGCCCTTCCCCCCTAGTCCTTCCTTCTCCCTCCCTTCCACCCCAGTTCCCAGGTTTATTCTTTTGTTCTCTTTAGATTAGAGGGGGAAAAAAGATAATTCTAAATTTCTTAAGTGTTAAAACCTATCCCCAGGTAGTGTCACGGGGACTTATAATAAGCTGTTACCTTGGCATTGGTAATAATATTGGTGTAGAATAGTTCTTAACTGCCTGTCTTCCCAGAATTCTCAGCTTTTGACCTGTCCTGTGATGTTAAACCGTCTTGTTAACTGCCTCTTTGCTTGTTGTCAGCAGAATTGTGTAGATTGACCTGTTAATGTAAATTAAGAATTAATTATTCACATGTGACATAGATTATTTAGTATATAAAGCTTTAACTCTGAAAACTTATGTGCCAAATTATAAGGAATATAATAATATTTTTATGCTGTCTTTCTTCTCTCCGTATTTAAATCTCCAGAATCTATTGGTAAGTGCTTAGTTCTGAAGCGCACTTCACCCCCACTAATTTCCATATTCAGAATATTATTATAATATTATTATAATTATTATTATTATTAAAATGCATGGCATGCATTTTACTAACAGTCAGTGTAGTCACCAGACCTCTAGTGGCGCGCACACGCACACCTCCACAGAAATGTTGTCGTAGAAACACTTATGTAGCAGAAACAATACACAAGTATCACATAAATGCAGTGCAGAAATTGCATTATATAACCTCAAATGCAGTGTTTGTTTTCAGATAGCTTTCAGTATATCCTATATAGTATATATATATATATGCCTAGCTATATATATATTTATATATACACTTAAATAAATTATCCAGTACTTTTCTGAAAAATTATTATTGTAAAGTCTTTTTAAATGCATATGAGGCCTATGCAATATATTTCTAACCCTATGTAGATATAACCTAAGATCTAAGAATTCAGTTGCTAATCTTGAGACAGGCTATGCTGCCTATTGGGCCTTTTGCCTTTTTTGTGGTACAATGCAACTTACTTTTATAACCTAATAATAATATCTAATATATTCCTGTTTTACCAGTATAGTAATTCAAGTTTCTTTTTAAAACCTTATTTAATTCTGTAAATCTAATTTGATTCTTCTTCCAAAGCCCTAGCCTCCTTCTTCTCGTACTAATGCTTCTTCTTTCTAATCTTATTTGCATTCATATTATCCACCCAGGTGGTACACCAATAAGAGGTAAGAGTGCTGAACTAACGTTCACAGAATGATCTTACTCATTCTTCCTGTCCTTTCATCCTTCTCATCTTTGTCCTGTTTAAAGAAAACATGCAAAAATGTCCGTCATCTTTATTTTTTCCTTTGTCCTGTTTGGTTATGATCAGTGACTCTCATCTTGTGACCTTTAATTTTCTTTTTTCCTTTCTCTTTTGTTTTGTTCATTTGAAAAAAAAAAGATAATTTAATTTGTGATATGCTTCAAAGAAAGCATATCCAGGTCTTTTGGCCATAGACCAGTCACAGCGTACCATCTGTCCCTCTTTATTTTTTCTTTTTCTTCTTCTTTTTCCTTTTTTCTTTTTTTCCTCTTTTTTTTTTGTCCAACTGGAGAAAAAAAAAAAGATCATTTTTTTTTTCTTCCTTAGCTGTTCTTGTTCTGGACCAAAGCCAAGGTGGTCTGGAGAACAGTTGCAGACATGCAGAAGACAACCTGGAAATACCTTCTTTTTGTCTTTATCTTTCAAAAGGGTTTTTGATTTTGTTCTTCGATTCTTTTTTCTTTAACCATCATCAAAATTTAAAAAAAAAAGACTCTTCCCACCCTCACCTAATCCCACTTTCCTAAGATGTGACAGCAATGCTTCTCCCCCTCCCCCCTTGTCCTTTTTTTTTTTTCTTGGATTTACTTGTCTCTGGATTTTTGTATCTTCTATTCTTCAGGCTTTGGAAAACATTGATGACTCAGTATTCTTGGTGGTATGTGGTATTGCTGGCTTTTGATACTCTGACGCAGTGTTTTCTTGTTTCGGATTTTTCTTGGGGTTTTGTGACACCACACTGCTAATCCCACTAGTGGATTTTGATGGGTGTCTTAAGGGGACCTTGCTGAGGTTCTCAAGCAGTGGTTGGTTGGTTCTTCCTTGTTGGCCTAGACCATGCTTTTTAACTTTTTTTTTTGTCTTCTAATTCAACTACTCTTTGTTTTTCAGCAAATGTTAACTTAAAAGATTGTAAGTTATGGGAAACTGTCTTTCTTTTCTTACAAATCTGCATGTCTTAAGGGAGTTTTGTTTCTTTAAAGAATATTTTGATGATTATGAATGACTAATGTGGTTTCTTTTTTTTTCCCACTTCATGCAGCCTTTTTGTACTTGCTGCTCATTTTTGGCTTTCTTCAGCAGAAGACTTTCTTGAAAACCAGAACTGCTTTTTTTGAGAGTACCTATCTTTGGCACTACTTTTGATAATAAAACCAAACAAAACAAAACCAAACAAAAAAAAACTTAATCTTTTGTTTTATTTAAAAGCCATACTTCCTTGAAGCAGTCTCACCCATCTTCATTTGAATAGTCTAGGAAATAAAAATGTTAATTGCATAGTGAAGTTGTGTTTCAAAAGTGGAAATTTGTTTCCCTGTACTAGTATTGATGATCTGAAAGAAAATAATCTATTTATGTTTTTTTTTCATCGCATC